AGAACCATTGTGTTGGAATTTGTTCAGCTTTGTACTTTGGCTAGAGTATGCTTGTGTGACAGAGAAGAAAGAAATTAGATACTTACTGTTACTACTCTTGGCACCGGGAAGGGCAACACGGAAAAGATAGCCACCTTCACTTTCTCCTATGTCAATAAGACCGAGAGGTGGTCCAATTGCACCTTCTTTAGCAGTTCCATTCAAAGATACGGCCAGTTTCAATTTTGGAGATGCTGTGTTCTGTTCTGGATACATGCTTTCTGGAAATAGAATTATTATTGCCCAAGAAATGCTGGCTTCCTGCACTTTACATGAGAATCCAGATGAGCGCATTACATATGGACAAGGATTAGAAATGGGTTATGCTTCCTTGTTTATTTGGAAAAATGCCTACATCTATAAGAATTTCAGAAAAAACATAAATTAATGATATTATGTATGGGAAGAATTTATAAACGGTTTAAAAATCCCAACCATACCTTCATAACTACTACTCATTATTATCCACACATTTTGTGGGATCCACTACTATTCCTCTCTATAAACCATTTATAAATTTGCCAAAGGAGACCATATCAGCAACATGTAAGCAATTAAGGGGAAAACATTATTAAATTACCTAAGTTGAAGCTTCGCACTTGCCTTCCATAACGTGTCCTACTTTAGTTCTCATTAGTTATCTTTAAAAAAAGTGTGAATTAATCAATGTTTATATTATAGCCACCAACATTCTTCCTTGCATTGTTGGAGTCGGTCGACCAACCTAGTCAACGCGGGTAGTTGACCGAACAACCCTCGCTTTATTAGGAGGGAAAGGTTAATTTAATTGGTCGATGCGAAGAAGGTTGAGTACATTGGTTTCCACTTACACTCATCACTTATCTCTCCACTATCACTACCGTGACTCGATCGACTAAATGCACGACTAGTTCGTTTAAAATATCTTGTTCAAATATTCTAGCTAGATGCCTCTATTACATCGGTTATACTAACTAATTATGACTGGGCAACATATCTAATCTTGCAACGTGATTTCAGGAAAGGATAAGCATTCACCAACCAGCTGTAAAGCCATGTCATCGCACCCTACCTCTATATAAAGAAGGTGAAAATCCCAGGTATGGGAGGGGTTTTCACATTCAGTCATTAGATACATATCTTTCTTCAAGAACGTTACTTTCCTCCCATATTTCCTCTCACACCGGAGTGGCCTCAGGGAAGAAGTGTACTGCCACCTTAGCAGGTTTTAGGCTGCGAACTTCGCCGTCGGTGGAGGAAAATCGACACTAACATCATTGCTAAAAGAAAATGTTTTGAAAAAATGCAACTAATTAGTTGTGCAAAATCCATTCATGCAGATTAAAACACGGTGAATATCCAACAAAAGTTGTTCTCCTCTAAAAGTTAAATAACAGAGATTTTACTACTCATTAGATAGCAATAACAAATTAAAAGTTTCTGCAATGCACTTGTGTCAGCATCAAAGCTCAATTAAAGATATTTGTACAATAAGATGTTCTCTGGACCAAAATAATGACAAACTTTTGAACACTTCGGTGCATACACAAACAAAGATATGATATGACAGCAGTATATGTACGTCACATCAAAAAAATGTCTCACAACAGTGGTAACTACTATATTTCTAGAAGACAATGGGAAAGCCAGAAATGGATCCTCTCCATCCTAGGGGCAGATTCAGCTCCTCCTCGATGCTGTGTCAACGGGAATGTTTTCCAATATTTGACTTTGTAACGACAAATCATAAAAAATCTTTCATTCCCGAAGCTAACCCTTCATGTTTCGATTTACTCCTCAATCTCATTCCCGCAAATCAAATTAGTTATATTTGTTGCCATTCAATGGTCTGGAACTTGATAAATTGATTTCCCATGTGGATAATTCAATTCACACGTCTTTATGCTCAATTATTAGAAGAGTGTCATCAGATAGCATACTCCATATACTTCAGGTAATGTGTCAATATAAGAACCGTGCATCAATCCATCCACCATTCAAGGGAAGTCACACCCCTGTGGGCAAATGAAGATTCTTCATCCTAGAATATTGCCATTTTGGTAGAAGCATCATGGCTCACTTCACTATAATATTTAATGATTTGAATCTTATTAGAAAATGCAAAATAGGTTGATACGTGACGTCAATATAAGGGTCAAATATGGTGCTGCTCTGGATATGACCACTTTATTACCTGATATATCCTTGAATATTGCCATTTTGGCAATATAGGTTGATATGTGAGGTCAATATAAGGGTCAAAGATGGTGCTGCTCTGGATATGACCACTTTATTACCTGATATATCCCTCCAATACCAAGTCCTAAAAAAGAGATGATGATAGCTACACAGTCAATATCAAACTTTTAAATTACCTTTTGAAACCCAAGAAGAGGCAAGCATAATAACGGAAACCACCACCAAAATGGGAGCATATCAAAACCAAACATACTGATTTAACATTAAGAATGGGGGGAAAAACATAATCACACCCAGTTACAGTTATTATAACCATAACCATGTATTCCTATTAACTAATAAAATTGGTATTGAAGGCCAACTGATTTTTTCCCTCAAAAAAAAGAAATAGCCAAAGCCATGGGAACAGAAGGCTTCTATTTGAGGGGGGTATTTTAACCTAAAATTTTTCATGAAGAGCTGATGGCGAAACACAATATTATAGCATTCATAAAAAAAAACAATAATAATAATGACAATGGTATTGAAAATGAAATTAGATTACTTAAAAATGGTTGAAACCTGGACCCTTAGATAAACCATGATGAAACCACAATGTTATTTCAACTCTTCTGAAACCATGAAGTGCTCAGACACCTGACATTTGGACAGTAGTATTGAACTACATTTTGTATTGATCTTATCTTAAATTTAAAAAGTCCATTAAAGATGTTTGGTTTGTTCGTACTTTCCAAATCAAGTTGCACGCCCATTTTGAACAATTTATGGTACATTGGACATTACTAAAACCATAAAATTAAATAAGGTTGGAAAATACTCACTCTATTTTGTTTTGATTGCCAAACTCTCTGTTAAGATATTCCAAGATAATAACTATTTAAGAAGGATTTTTTCATGCTCTTATTCCAAAACTACTTTCTAAAAAGCTCATAGTTATCTTCTCGGTTCCACTTGCACCGACTTCCACTCTCACCAACTCCATGAGGAACCACGTGAGGACACTCCTACTTCTAATTACTCTTCCTCCCTAATGGTGTATTTATGGTTAAAAGAGTAAAACCTTTGAGAAAACTTCTCCTCTAAATATCTCAAAGTTTCTCCTTCTTTAAATATCCAATCCGAGTAACTGGACTATTTTAAGATTCAACCAATTTCCACAACTTGCAACTCTATGTACAGCGAACCAACCTAGTGGAATCCAAATTTGTTGAAAAACTTGATACTTCATTGGTAAATTGACAGTTCCATAGAGGCTGAGAGCAATGTGAAGGACATGCACAAAGGGTTGAAAGTGTAGGTGAGTTGACAGAATGTGTACAAGCACTTGGGTCAGTTACTTGTTCTATCTCTGGATGTAGACAAGTCATGTCGCAGACAAGTCTTGCCAAACCACATTAAATTTGAGTATTCACTGGTCCCACATTCATGAATGATTACACATGATAATTCAAAGATTGAACACCAGGACTATGAACAAACTGGAGAAATTATATGTATGTAAGAATTGCACTGGAACTGGGAACTGTACAGGTTGAAGATCAAGGCATACAAGAATATGATGTATCATATTTTAATATTGGGAAAGGGGAGAAGGCCCTCGTCTTCTTACATCTTCCTTAGTCTAACGAAGGCCTAGTGACTACCAAGCTCTACAGGAAGATGTCCTAGACGTAAAACAAAAATCATCATTCTTGTCTTAAGAGGAATAGAAAAAGCAACCAAGATGAGGACAAAATTTATCATTGATTGTGCAAGGCAAGCAATCTTTGATATTTTTTGTATATCAGGAGCAAAGTGCAAGCTAGGTGTCTTCGAATACAAACAATCCTAGGTGTGGAGGATGACTAGTGTCAGTAGGCTTTAAGTTTGAGACAAGCCAAGTGTGCTAAACATGCTAATTATTTCATCCCTATTAAGTGATTTCAGATATACTTGAGTAGGGTGCATGAGAGCAAGACAGAGCAATGCACACAAAAGATTTGAGAAATCTATGTCGCAATTGAGCAAAATGTACAAGGGCTTAGGTTTGGACACACATCAAGTGTGATATTTCTTGTACTGTTTTTGTCTCTCATGGGAAAGTATGGCCACTCTCCTGGATGTATGAAAGATATGCTGAACCATGATAAACCAGTTCCTTCAATTTTCCTCATATTCAAAGGCCAAAACTTTGCACTATATGCAACAGACTGAATACCAAACAGCAAACGGCTATACACTATGTAGTACAAACATAATCATAATCTACATAATTATGAATAAATAAATCCTAAAATCTAAAATTTTGAATATATATACACACAAGTATAGAACCCAAAAAGGAAATGTACATAAATATCAAATTCAAACATCGAAAAAGAGGAAACTTTACCTAGATTTCCTTACCTTTAAATAATCGAGAAAGTTATTGGTCGAATAAACACAATCCGACCTCTTCAAAAGTGAAATCCAAAAACACCCCAAATCTACAAAAGCCCAAAATGCAATTAGTATAAATAGTAAAAACGATTTTTTTCTCAGTATCAGGATTTACCTATTATCCGTCTCAGGCCTTAGTATCTGTCTGCACCGCTATATGTGTAAGTAAATTGATACAACAAGTTGCGAATTTTTAAGAGAGTATATAAAAAAGAAGAAGAAACGGAGATTTCTTGGGAGTCCAAATTTTGAGTGCAAATTTTCTTTTCTTGCTCTCCAATTTTTCAATTGGTGTTTGACCAAATCTAGAATATAAATATTAAATTCAGACAACATAGTACAGTGTCATATTTCTTCCGACCAACGGTACTCTACCAATAGTAGAGATGACATTAAAAATTGGATTAACAGCACAAACCCCCGGAAAACGTTTCTATTTACGATACGCCTCATACTTACCGAAAATCGCAGAAAACTCTCTATTTGAAGCCTTTTATGCAAAAAATTTCCTTATTGGCAAATTTGTCATTAAAAACAGTAAAAAGGTCAAAATCAAAAAGTAATCATTACAATTTTAGTAGCCAAACATATTATTCTTTTACAAATTATACCTAATATATATATATTTTTTTTTATTATTTTTTATTATTTTTTTTTTATTATGTACCACCCACATCTCAAACCTTTAAAATTTTATTTTCCACCCTACCCAACGTCATACATTTTTTTTTTCCATTCCCTTAAATTTCTGGCAAATTGATTTTCAAACTTAGGTTGTGATCTTACCAAAAATCGTCACTTGTTGAATTCCGAGCTTGATCACTG